AGGATATTCATTCTAATAATTTCTAGAGAAATTTTTAGAATTCTCTTTATTTCTAAAAGTTTCTCCATTATTCCTTTTTTCTTTACTTTGAGACCGTAATTTGAGCTTTGATTGAAAGAAATTTTTAGTTGAGTCCTCATCATGCCTATGCAATAATATTCAGTTAGGGAAGGAAACAAAATATATTGCGTGATCTCAATTTCCCCGTTAATTAATGTCTATATACTGCTAGTGCTTTCTTTTACATTGAAGTATTTCAAATTTCAATTTCGAGAGATATATATATATATAAAAGAATAGCATGATTAATTTTAAGGACTGATAATACATGGGTGAATAATTTACCAGCAATGTTCCTTCGGACTCTGTATATGACAAAAATGCTGAATAACAGTATCGCACCAGCTACAGCAATTGTGGTAGCAATTATAATCATCACCATTTTGTTGCGCCCATGTTTCTCTTCATGGTTGGTTTTGTTCAAACAAACAAGAACATGAAATTAAATCCTCAGATTTAAAGAATGATATTGAACTTTCCAAAAAAATAAGAATGATATTGAATTTTCCAAAACAATAAGAATGATGAGAGTATTATATGGAGAAGGATTAATAGTCTTTACCTAACTCCGAAGCAGGTATTCGGATATATAGATCTTGCCCGCCAGTTGGAAGCATGACTATGTCAAATAGTTCGCCAAACCAAAGGACACAACCACTTCCTTCTCCACTTATGTTCGAATTAGTATAAGCCATGCAAGAGCAATTTTTCAAGCATTTGGATTTACATTCAGCTAAATCAATATTCTCATCCAGCCAAGTATGTGTAGTTTCTGGTACTTTCATGCCTTCATATTTGTCAAACTCATCCGTGTAGTTACCTTTGCAACTTTGTGGTTGTTTAAGGACACATCCTTGGGACCAGTCCTTTGAGTTCCATTTTTCAGGAGACTTGGGATTGAACCCTTGCAAACATTCACACATGGGTGAAGCAGAAGTTCTGCAATATGAATTGGCTCCACAAACCCCATAATAGTCACATTCGTCAGCTGGCAAAGCTGAATATATTACCCATGATGCATCAATATCTGACCATATATAATGAATACGTTGTAGAGTGGTTTGGTTTAGTACTGCTCTTGTTATCAAACTGGACTGCTGAAGGGTCCATGTGTAATAAACCTCTTCCTTGTTGGAGAAAAACTCGTAGTGGTAAATTGGATTAGGCGACATTTCTGGCATGCCACTGAAGCGCAATCCATTCCATGGTCCAACTCTCTGGTACTTTTTTGTTCCTTTCATTGTAATGATCTCAGGATAGGGGTGAACTGCAATACCCCAAGATAAGTCTCCTGGGGTTGGATCATCATTACTCTTCCATGATATTAGGTTTCTGTTGCGATTTCTTTTGAGGTCCCATCCAATCTTCATTCCTGGCAACATTGTATCAGAAGGGTAATCAAAGCTTTGCCACAGATATTCCTCTTGATTTGATTTTGTTGAATTCTCATCTCTTATCACAAGATTGCCAGAATCCAAGAGTTCAGCCACTGGATTCTGTGCTGCTTTTGGAGAATCTGTGGACCAAACCACTATGTTGTTGTGTGTTAAAACCAAATTGCCAGAACTGTTTAGTTTCAAGATGGCTGAGGAATCATTGATTGGTTTGCCAACGTTTGCAACCCAAACAACGTTTCGAAGTGGGATATTCTTGTAGCGGATCCCTAGGTAGGTTTTGTTGGGTTTTCCAAGATTGAAGAAGCCAAGCTCAAAGGTTCCTTGTGGGTAAGAAACTATGGTATCTCCATAAGTGAGGGACTGTGTATGTGAAATGGATGATGTGTCCGCGGCTATGAAAACCATGAGAGAGGGCACAAACAGTATATAAACTACGATCCTCATTAGAAATCGAATAAACTTCATTTAGTTTCGACTATGTTTGAGAGTAGAGTTTAAAAATGGTACGCTGAGAGTACGAACACTTAAGCTGCTGAATCATGTATATATATATATATATATATATATTTCATACTAATAATAATAATAATAATAATTTGTACTATTAATAAATAAAATCATCTCATTTGATATTTATAGTTTCAATTTTATCCTTATAATTAGTGTTTTAAAACCCGGACCGACCCGGCTGG